GATGACTTAAAACACATTTTAAACTACTATCACCAAAACCTTTTAAACATTTCTACAAGTTACCATATTTTGCTTATTAGATATCAGAGAATGATAAAAGTGGGAAAAACGAAGATGTACTATTGAATCACTAGATTTAATCAACTAAGATTACAATGAACGATAAAAAACATGTAGCTTAATAGATTTTCTCTCACATTTTGACTAGAACCGTATTACGCTAACACAATAATTCAAATGCATTCGAGAAGCATTAATCAACGAACTAAATACGTATTATACGCCAGATTAGAATTTATGCCTATTTCGAATAGACTAGACTCATTTGGACTTTTCGTCTAATCCATGGCAGTTTAGAATCGAGATGTTTGCACGTGTTAATCTTAAATGAGCTGAGTTCAAATCACAACCAGACTAGGTCATGTTAGAATTCTGAATCGATCTAGTCTAGCTCGGAATTAAAGTAGACTCATTTAGAATTATGTAATAAAAGATGGATTCTGTGTCATAACACGATAAAACAAACGATTTTCAGAGCAGCTAGTAAAAATTAATTAGCCTTCATTTATGCACTAACCTGGGTCCACATTGTACTTGAATGAAGCCAAGAGAGAAAAATTAATGTTTCTTTATTAAAATAGAAGTAGTAAAAGAAAAGATTTAAAGAAGATGATGACTACGAGTAAGATTATGATAATTCAGTCTCAATTAAAGATTATGTTCCAGATTCGATTTTAGAAAAAAGCTTTTTCAGTTGAGCGCTTACTCATTTTTTGATAAAACTGTCCTACTGTAAAAATTATTCTTAGAAATTTTCTACTTTTGGTCTTGTATATCTGCATAAGTGAACGCTAATTAATTTTTACTAACTGCTCTGAAAATCGTTTGTTTTATCGTGTTATGACACAGAATCCATCTTTTATTACATAATTCTAAATGAGTCTACTTTAAATCCGAGCTAGACTAGATCGATTCAGAATTCTAACATGACCTAGTCTGGTTGTGATTTGAACTCAGCTCATTTAAGATTAACACGTGCAAACATCTCGATTCTAAACTACTGTAGATTGAATGAAAAGTCCAGATGAGTCTAGTCTATTCAAAATCGGCATAGATTCTAATCTGGTCTGTAATATATACCGAATTTGAGTTCTATTTGTTATAAATCGCTGATAGACGTCGAATCCATGTTTTCAGAAAAGTTGCATAATAAAATGCAGAAAACAATCTCAATAATCTGCATCATCACACATACGCAAGGGCTTAACTAGCCTGACGTAACGAACTTAAATCAGGTTGACAATAAACCGATTTAAGAGGTACATTGCACTATTAATTCAAATCGTCATATTTTTCACAAGTAATCGCTTTGAATAATTGAGCATTAAAAAATGATAAAAACCTATCGTGTATCGGAATCTGTAAATTTGATGCTTCTCTATATCGCCTTTTTTCAATGACAGTAAACTACAGTAAGTTTATAATACTAGTTGTATACCACTTTCTTGACCACCATCGTTTTGTTTTGTGGTTTTTAATGTATATAAATAGTATCGAGTTTGAAAGAAAGAGCAAATTTCTTTTTTCTCAGTCATTTTGAGTTTCTCAGTCAAGTTTGACTCGAGTAGTTCAGTTGACCGCCTACTTTGACAACAAAACATAACTCCAATAAAATAAAAATGTAAATTTAACCATGGAATTCATTCGCAGAAATTTATACTAAAAATACGGACATTAGACTTTTCTTTTTATTGTTTAGTAGTCTTTTTAAGAAAAATTTTGTTTTTTATCAATAATAGTTGATAAAATGATCACTTTTTTCATGGCACAGCTGTTGTCATAGATTATTCTGTAGCAACAGTAATAGTTTCCACTTCTTTTGGTCTGAAACTCAAGGACATTATTTATGTATTATTAGAAACAGCTTGAATTTTTACTATGGTAAGTAAAACTTGCTCTTATTATAGTAAATTGTTAAGGTTTTCATTTATTTTTCACGATCAAAACAACATTTCATGCACATAATTTGTGGTATTACAAATTGTACTACAATTTCTGAGATTTTTTTCTATGTGACGAAAATTTTATTCTTTTATGTAAAATTTTGGAAACAGGTTTTTTACATCTGTGACATGTTAGTTTTTAGCCTGAAAAATCCAGAGCGGTCTTTAGTCTAGTGGAGTATTCCCTAAGCTATTCATCAGAGAGTAAAGTTGCCAAATAATCTGCTTTTGTACAATTAAAAAGCGAACTAGAGAAAGCATTTGTGGCTCTTGATTCATTGAGATATCTTTTTTTTCTAATCATATTTATTAAAATAAAATGGTAATCACAAAGAACAGAATACGATAGTTAACAGATAATTTAAAAACAACAGGCAAATCGAATATATCATTTTATGCCTGGAATATTTTATGTCTATTCTAAACCGCAAGAGAAAGAGAGAAAAAAGTAACTACAAATAGAACACAAAAACGCAATACACATGACAGGCCACACAAAAGATGAAAACTCCAGGAACCATCAAGTGAAAATGTTTTGGATGCTCGAATAAAATCAAGGATCAAACTAAACACTTTACATAAATCATCTCGATTCAATAGCCTAATAGATGCCGCATGAAATAAAATATGATCTAAAGTTATGGTATCGTTAATAAACGTTGACAGTTGCTAAAACAGAACACGACGGTTCGCATCATACTCAGTACAGTTTAAAAAAAATGGCTTACCGTTTCTCATAGATACATTTAGAAGAGAGTTCTAAAGCACGCGTAAATAGAGGATCATTTGATGACGGAAAGTCTATCTATAATGAGTATGTTGCATCTCTAAATAGCGATTGCTAACCAGAGGAGTACGAAAAAAAATCAACATATTGCAATTCTAATTGCATTTAAAGGATTTTAATACATAAATTAACGTAAGAGAAGCATCTAATGCATTCACTACCTTTCACATATAAGTGTCTTTTTCAAAAAAAACTTTACTCCTAAGTTGTGTCGTTATATCACGTCGAATATTGCCGCGCATGTTAGAATTACTTAGATTATGTACAAGGCACCACTGAACTAATAACTCGGCGCTTTACCATGCATAGTTTTACGGATAAACACATATACCAAACATACAGTAATGATTGAAACGAAATCTATGATAAATCCTGGAAAGCTTCATCCTGAGATATTTCTTTCGGGGCACTGGTTACTGCTAGACCTGCCTGGTACTGTAGTTGAGTCAGACGCAAAACATATGCTGTAGTTATTTCATCGTATATTACTATTCCATTATTCAGACCGCTAAGAATAAAAGCAAGATAGACGGAGTCAATGTTAATCTCGATGTTTGTCTCGAAGCGAGCCTACTTCAAAATTCCATTGAGCCTATTATATGTGAAATTTTATTACATAATCCATCCACGCGAGGTGTCCAGTCTAACGTAGAAGTAAAGGTCAAGTCTAACTGTACCCGTTCCTTAACAGGACTCAACGGCACACAGATCTAGTCTCGTTTAAATTATTCGCTACGTAGTCAGCAATTTACAATATAATAGCCCTCTAGTTTAAGTATACTTGTGGATCGTTAGTTCTAAAGAGCGGTACAGTATGATCTAACTTCCAACTGAAACGTTCACGAGAGCTAGTGCGCGCCAGTTTCTTGTTAACATAAAAAATGAGATGTAGCAACTGAGTACGTTATCTTGACACTGACCGAAGTTGCTCTTGAAGATATTCAGAAGAACCCATATCATCAATATGGTAAAAATACCGCATGGCTACCGCCCAATATACTGTGAGGTATGCCGCCATGTAAGTCGAAATTACCGCAAGGTATACCAGCGGTAATCGTCTGGTATTTTCCCATTATGACACGTAGAGCGAAAATTCAGCACTAGTTTTAACTTTCTTTTTTTGTTATTATCAAGTGCTTAAACGCATGAAGGCTCCGAGTATTGGGAGAAAATTTGCCTCGACTCGAAGTTCAAACTTGGAAGAGCCTATAATCTAAACAAAAAGTTAATCTGAAAAAACTCAAGTTCTTTGAAATTTTCTGTTTCTTTTATACCTTCGGATGCAAAACAAAAAGATGAATCGATAGACTCGGTTACCGGGCAGTATTTTGTTAGACCGCGGTAGTTCCGAACACCGCATGATAGCGCGATTACCGACGGTATTTTAAAAAAAAGCTCGACATGGGAACACCAGTGGTGGATCCAGAAAATTTTTCCGACAGGATACAATGGAAATAGATTCTGTAGTGCGGAGTGCTGAAAACACAATTAGAAAATTTGTATTGAAAATCAGACTAAAAACTAGGAATTCTGTCCGTAATTGTCAGTTTTCTAGATCAGAACTCAACTTTTATTCAATAAAAATATTATATTCGAAATAAGAATCAAAAACTGAGTCGATTGATATGTATTTCGCAATTTTTAGTTCATTTTCAGTTTTGGATGAAAATCTCGATAATTTTTCAATGTAATTATTCGAAAAACACCAAAGTAGTCGGATAAAATAGAAATACATACCAGTCCTAATTCCGAATATAATATTTTTATTGAATAAAAGTTGAGTTCTGATCGAGAGAACTGAGAATTACGAGCAGAGTTCCTAGTTTTTAGTCTGATTTTCAATACAAATTAGATATTTCGAAAGAAAAGAAAAAAATTTTTTATTTCGATATATAACTTTCTTCTTTGTTTCACGACGGTTCTAATGGCGCAAGAATCGAGGATCCAGCGCTTAAACTTGATTCCTTTTTGAGCACCTCTTGAAAATGAATTTTTTTGAAAGGTTTAACGCGGCTCGGGAACCTTGAAATACATTTTTCTATAGTGGCTGTCATCCGCTGCTTCCGAAAATAACATTTGGAAGGTTCCCTGGTCTTGTCGAACTGAGATAGAGCATGTTTATGACGAATTAAAAACGAAGACTCTTATATTAATTGCAAACAAAAATCTTTATAAAACAAATTATCAATTTGAATAAAAATAATTACTAATTATTCAATTTTTTTGATAGAGTTTTGTTCATCCTTATCATTGATGGCATTTTCATTATTTTTGTTGAAATGTTTATTAAGTTTTTTCAAATCTTTTTCATAATGTTTTTCTAAACGTGTAAAACTTAATTTTAAACACGTATAAACAATTAATATTTCTAATGTTAATGTAACACAGGCATAAGTTATATCTTTTAGTAAATGTCGAGTAGTGATTTGATTTTTCATCTGTAACATATCTCGATAAGTGGCACCCGACTGGAAAAATCCCATAAGAAATATGAAACCATGGAATGTATGATGAGACTGTCCGATTAAATCGAATGTGCCTGGATGAAAGCGTTCAGGTAGTTTTGATACGAATATTGTACCACTAGCTAAAAAATAACAAAAAAAAAGCGTTACTTTCATCTATGAAGTGTTAACCTTTGATAATGTACACCAGTCGTGCTCACTATTCTATAGAATTTTTTCAAAACAATAATTAAAACTAGTATATGATGATGATGATGGGTATGATAGAAAATCCTGTTGAATTTTAATTAAATTTTATCAGTTACAAGAAACGATGAATACGCACCAATAAATGCCAGAATTTCTGCCAAATGCCATTTTAGTGATGATTTACAGTTGTAACAGACAATTATTTGCAATATAATTGGCCATATTTGATAGACATAGACGAGTAGGACACCAGAACATTGTAATATTTTATGGATAAATGGATACGGACGACGATAATAAAACTTACAAAAACAAGCTATCGATAGAGAATACAGTGATAAACATGATAAAAATAAATAATAGAACGGTTCGTTAAATAATTCATAAGAACTGTCGACACGTGAAAAACGATAATGAACAATTCCGCTAATAAATCCATAAAAATTAATACCTAAAAGAGACTGAATTGTTTAAGCTCTTGAAAGGTTTACAATTGACAAAGTAAATTAATCAAAGCATTTGTTTTTCATTTTATAAAAAAGTCATGTAAGTTTTAAAAACTGAAGAATTTAACAGCTGATTAGTTGTCAGAGTTGATATAGGATAAGATTTCGGAAAAAATTCATATAGTTATTACAAACATGCTGTCTGCACAAATTTTTTTCATCTCTATCTAACTGTCGTGTAGACAAAAGAAAAAAAGGAATTATATAGATCGCGTTTTTGTACAAATTGATCGATAAATTTGAACAACAACTATTTTATTAATAAAATAGTTGAACAAAGAATATTTTCTTGGTCATTATAGTTCCAACCATAGTTGAAGGTATAAAACACTTCGAGTCACCTGAGGTGATTCTGATCAAAAGCCATTTATAATTGGAAAAAAACAATTTTTATACAGATCGATAGAGCTGTCTTTTGTCTATCGATTAATGTTAAAAAAATTATTTTAAAGCTCATTATGGTTAATTAATTCTAATCGGTTTTCAAGCTCTTGCTATTAAATGATCAGAATTACTCCAAAGCGGGTAATTCAGATCAACACAGCCAAAATGGTTGGATGATCCACAATTAATTTTTTTTCTTCAACGGTAGACTTTTAGCTTTCGAATTGAAACTGACACCACTATATGTAGAATAGTGAGCTCTATCTATCTATGTAATTTGCAGTTCAGTCCCAGGTGTTATTAATTAGTTAATTAGAATTTAGAGAAATTCTTTAACTTTCGTAAAGCATTTTTACAAATCAACATCTTCAAATGTCTTATTAACTAGCGTATTTAAACTTTTTAAATCTTTTTTTCACAAATACAAATGCATTAAAAGTGTTTTCGTAAATTTAATACATTCGCAGATTTTAGGAGCCGTCTACTGAGTATACAGAAGTTAGAAATGAATGCATGTGAACGCATTAACCCCTTGCGGATGGGATTAAGGTGTTGAAAGTTGAAAATTCAAGCAGAATATATTTTTGCGATATTTTTACATAGTTGAATAGAGCTCGCTGAGCTGAATCTGAATATATGTATTTTAACGTTTGAAAAAAGAATTTTGAAGTTGAAGATTTATAAAAATCAAAATTTTTAAAACCCTTAAAAAGCATTTGTGCATGTAGCTTTTAGATAGTTTAAAAATATTTTATTTTTATTCTACATAAGGTAAAATTGAATCTAAAAAATCTATTTTTTGTTACATTCAAATATCGTAAGTCCATGAAAAAACTTTAGTTTTTCGCCCATAGATGAAGTACCTTTCCCAGCCATGATAGAAATTTCAACTCATTTTAGTTAGAAGATAAAGCCAATATTTTTATATCGTTATAATCGACTCAAGCCCACTGAAACACACATCAGTCGATTCAGTTTTTGATGCTGATTCCAAATATCACACTGGTTGCTGAAAAATGGAAGTTTGACGGCGAAAACTGTAAAATTGAACGACAGAACGCATATATGGGTTTCCCGTTCTCAAGAAGTTAAGACCCTCCCCCGTCAGAAACTTATCTGTGAAACTATAACTCCGATCTTGATCAAACTTTTAGGAGATGCTGATCTTGTGAAAGTATGGTTTGTAAGTATGGGAAAAAAGTATGGACTGGTCTTAAAGACGAAATAGAGGCTGATAGAACCGGATTTCTGATATTTTTCGTTTCAAATTAATGGTCAGCGTCGAAAGTCTCATTAACTCTGGTAAAGATGTTTTTCTAATCACACAAATCTAGATAGAATATCAAAAATCGGGCTCTGTTAGCCTCCAGCCACATGTATTTTCGTCAATTTAAGATCTTCCCGAGCTCTCTGCGATGTTTCGCTATCGAGAAATCTTGAAACTACGAAATGGTGTTAAGGTGAAAGTCGCTTTCGAGATATGATGGCGCCAGTATATCTAATGCATGTTTTAGAGCTTCTAGCAAAACTCTCATAACTCTTGATCCGAACAACATTTAGAGCTGAGAAATATCTCGTTCTGATGCAGACATGTTTGCTGTATTTCGATGTTACTAAAACTAGTTTTCGACTTGCTTTTAAATCGGAAAGTAAAACTTTTTCGAAATTCAGCAAACTTCAGAAAACTTTTCTAAAAATCTCCATACTCCTTCGATGAGGACCAAATAACACTGGATCCCGATAGTAGATACTGTGGGCTATCTGATGATGTGCTTAGCTGAATATTCGACTTTTTATAAAAAAAAACATTATCTTTCTGACCGGGGGGGGGCCTTAATGCTTTTTAAAAACAAAAATGATGCTAGCATTCTATAAGGAAGTGTTTTTACTTTTTTCTATCAATGCCATCGGATTTCCTCTCAGAAATTTAGATCTAGGATGATTGCTTCTGCTCAATCAGACATAGTGTAGATGACCTAGAAACTTTTCCAAAAAGATTGATGCCTTCTCTCGATATGGTCATCTATGAATGTAATCAAATGCATTAGAATTTAATATAGCTTCTTTTAAAAAATATTAAGAATGAGGTAAATTAACAGAAAAGAGGAAACAGTTTTTTTCCTCTCATTTCACATAGTTGTTAAAATTACTTTATTAGGTAACATATAAAAAATATATAAATTAGACGTCAAACCCCGGTTAGACTTCATCAGTAGTAAAAATATAAAAAGAAATTTCACTACTGATGAAGTCTAACTGGGGTTTGACGTCTAATTTATATATTTTTTATATGTTACCTAATAAAGTAATTTTAACAACTATGTGGAATGAGAGGAAAAAAACTGTTTCCTCTTTTCTAAGAATTAAACAAACTTAAAGAGTTTGAATATTTTAAAATTCTTAACGCGTTAAATAGCATTGAGTTTATAAGACCTTAAAAGTAAAAAATGATCAAAACGCGTTAAAAACGAACGTTTTTCGTTAATTTGATTTTAACGCGCTTAATGCGTTAAAATAATTTAATATGAGACTAGAACACGTTTCTTCGCTAGGCTAACGCATTAAATTATCCATTTTAACTCGTTTTAACGCATTAATGATATTTTTATAGACGCGAAGTTTTTCGTTTACTTTTGGAATATAAAATTTAACGCATGTAAATGCGTTAGAAAACTTTTAAAAATAATTAATGAATTTGAACTCATTACTATTTCATACTATTAAATGTGTTAAAAAAATGATTAACACGTTAAAAGGAAATTTTTGGTATCAAAAAAATTCACTGGATGTATTTTGGGATAATTCCAGTCATTTAATAGCAAGAGCTTGAAAACCGATTAGAATTAATTAACCGTAATGAGCTTTAAAATAATTTTTTTAACATTAATCGATAGACAAAAGTCAGCTCTATCGATCTGTATAAAAATTGGTTTTCTCCAATTATAAATGGCTCAATTATCAGCAAAAAACTGAGAAAATTTTTGACACTGATCAGAATCCCAGACGACTCTAAATTCGGTATATATACTGAAGTTTGAAAAATTTTGAAATTTGTAATAGTTTGCAGAGATTTACAAAAAAATGATCAAATATTGATTTACAATTATAAACTTCTTTCCTACAATATTCTGAATTTAATGAGCTTACCAAGATAGTCGATGTAAAATGACCTTAAATGATCATTTAAATTTCGCGAATGAAATAAGTGTGCTTGAGCGGAACACAGTAACATCACACATGCTCCAATACAGTTGTAAATAATATAAGAAATAACAAATGGCGAAGATGTCGATAAAATATGATCAAACGTTTGCAAAACGATAATAAATGTACCCACAAGATGAATCCAAATTGAAAGAGTCTCATTATGTAATGAGAATAGACTACGGTAATAATAGGAATATGGTTGATTTGGTAAACGAAAACCCGAATGAATATAGGGTTCAACGTAAATGTCTAAAACATCACTACAGTGTAAATAAGACATTGTCAAACCAAAAGTATCAGATCAGATCGACACTAAAAGAAAACAAAAACAACATTGTTTCAGTAAAAAAGCATCCGTCATACACTTCGTGTCGACAATAAAAATAAGGTCGACATTTATACATAGTATAGCTAGTAACATATGAGTGATCACTTGTAAAGACTATTTAAATATAAACGTAGGTGTACGGCCTTCATACAAATGTATCATCATAACTCGTAGTTTCCTTTTGCACAATTTAGTGCAATGGGAAAATTCGAATCGATGGCAGATCAAATCTAGGAGAAGAACTTCAAAAATTGTTCTAATCAAACAACTCTCCTATAAACAGTATTTTTCTATCTTCCACATCAGGGGTTAAAATGGACTGTTTGGAATTGCCAGTTTTTTTCCATAAAAGTACTGAGAATCTCCAACTGGTTTTATTTTATAGTAAACATCTATTCTTCTATTTTCTCTTTCACAAGTCAAGAATAAAAAATGCTCGTTTCCAATGCGGGAGGCGGTGAACAAAATTGTAATGGAATATGTAGAGACATGTACTGCACATGTCTCGCATATTAACACACACCTATAGTAACACAAAATCAATTTGAACAAGTCGTCAAAGAACATTTTGTGTTCTTTTTTCAATTTAAGATTGTACAAAAAAAAAGCGCTCAAAATCATTAAAAACTATTATCCGTTTAAAAAAGAATAATCCATGGCCAGTTTTTGAATAAATTTTGACTGGTGAAAGCTACAGAGCTGAGGTTTTTTGATATGGAAAGAGCAGATTATGAAACGTCTGCCCGATATGACTCTGTAGTTAAGAATAATATAAGCATTCTCTTACCTCGGAAGATTAGAAAATCTTTCCAAATACACAAGTATCCCATATTGTTTTTTAAAAGTTCTATTGAACTCCATGGTATGGTTCAGATAAAAGAGAGTATATCTTGATATTCTGAGATAGTGTGGATCGATTTTGACTTAATTATGAATTTTCTGACTTTACGTAAAAATAGGTAAAAATGGGACATTTCACATAATATAGGTTTTCACTAGATTTTTGAACTTTTTTCGGAAAATAAATGTTGCCATAAGACTCAGTGTAGCGATTACCTATGTTTCTATTCATTTTCGGGCTTACCACACCTAAGCGATCCTGGGACTTCGAGAAAATCCGATACCACATCTCAACCACGAAAGATTAATACGTCACTTAGATCCCATTTTTAAGAGAACACTTTCTTCTACCTACTGATGTAAAAAAATCAATAGTTTGGTATTTTAAAGTTTTCCGTTATGGATGAGCTTTCTCGAAATTCGTTTTTGAAAAGTTTCTATAAAGGTTTCTGCTTGTAAAAAGATCCGCCATAATCTCCTCTTTCCATATCAGAAAACCCCAGCTCTGTAGCTTTCACCCATCAAAATTTATTCAAAAAATGGCCATGGATTTATTCTTTTTTAAATGGACAATATCTTAGGTGGACCAAGCTTTAGTGCGTTAGAAAGTAGATACTTTCACGTGTTCAACGATGTATTTATCTCAACGACTCACTCTAAACCAACATTGAAAAACTATTTTTAATTTGATGGTTACTTGTACACGACAAAAATTTAATTTCTTCAAGTGTTTTTAGAACAAAAGAAGAAAATGTTTTACTATTCTTATGTAAATTTATTATACGAAATATAAATCAAAAAGAGATGTGATAATGAAACGAATCATTTTTATTAATATTTACTGTAATTCATATATGATGCATAAATATGCATCTTTCTTTTTTATTATTAATTATGTAAAAGACACTAAGTCAGTTCTTTTTTTTTCTTCATCGATTGTCTTGAATTAATTTGAGTTTTCCAGCTATGGTAGTGTAATTTTCGATTAGATGAACTATCTGCCTCTATTTCATTATTCATTGTCAAACAAACAAAAGGAATAGATATAACACGATATTTTTATTTATGTAACCTGTAGACATTTTCGATGTGAATGTGTGTATGTTTTTTGACATCTTCATTATTTTATCTTCTGTATGAAAAAAAACAGCCCAACATACCGTTGCTTTTCAAATGAAGTAGAAAGCAGTGGTATTGTTGATAATGTACAGATATCAAATCTGATGATATATAAATAGAGCGAGAGAGTATCGATCCAATCAAACTTTATTTCTGTACTTTATCGCTTTCAATACGTCAAAGCAAAGCAAAAAGAAAGAACGAAAGGAAATATTACATCAAATACGAGATAGTTGATTGGAGTTCTTTACAAATAATGTCAGTCTGGAATAATATTTTGTTCACCCATAAGGTTTTAATGTTCAGAAATAAATTACTGTTCTTTATCGCATATATTCACGGTTAAGCAGCATTAATAGACTCGTCTTGCACTGACAAGTTAAAGATATATAACTACTATTTCATTTAATAATTCTCAAAACGTCGTGATGTACCCTTATCTATGCTAGCAGACAGCATGTGAAGATAACATTATTTTCGAATAATCTTCTAAGGTCATAAATAAAAACAAAAATTATAATTGAAAACACAAAACTGACCGCATCATTTTGATTACAAGCAACATATTTAATAGAATGAAAAAATATCTCTACAATAACTCCATATTCTGTAAAATTAAACAAAAGTCAGCGAATGCATCATATTTCTGTCTTTTATAATTGATCAAGGTAATAAATATTAGAGAAGAGTTAAAAATGAATCAATATGAATGACCATATATTACTAAAATGAGATTTTCACTATATTCTAAAAGAAAAGATCTTAAAATCAAAAACGTTTTTAGAATTTGTCTCTGTAGACAATCACTTTCTGATTTTGGAGAAAAGATTTTATAGCGGTTTCCCGTTGTGGACATAAATCAAGGAAAATGTGCATACCTTTGTGACTAAGAGAATGTCTGATAGGCAAACACAAGAAAATTGTCATACTAAATCCTGTTTCATTTTCATCAATTTATAAAAAATCAACGATTTTTGATGTCTCCAAACTAAAAAGTCGTTTTTCCATAGAAATAAATTCCAAAATTCTTTGTGATTTTGAAATGTACTTTTTTTGTTTTTAGAGTATGGTGTTTAAACGCACTTCACACATTAAATATGGTAAAAAACTTGTCATCTGTTAATTGGAATAAAATCAGTTTTAATTTTTGATCTGTTATTGGCAAAAAGTCTATAGAAAAAGTCATATGATTCGATAGAAAATTTTGTGTTTTTTAAATCAGATGTCAATTGTTCTTCATCAAGTCAATGATATTTCAGTCAGAAGTGTGGTGAATATATTACTTACTTTCTCTTCTGTTGGTTTATTTAATTTCTTTTTCTACTAGACAAATTAAGTAATGTTTGAAACATAAAATGTTTTTATTTTATTTTCTATTGTAATTGTTTTGTTTTATTAACAAAATAATTTTGTTTTTTCATGCATACTATATAACTCATATGTAAGAATAATTTATTTTTCTTTGATTTTTGTGACCCATTTATTGTGAGCTTTTAACTAGCGAGAATGTTAAGTGCAAAATTATCAGTAGAAGTGAGAATAATAAAGACACATGCACATTATAAGGTTAACATTTTAAAACAACTTATAGTTGACATGTCTTTTCTAACTATATGATGCCTGTTCATCGTCATCATGAAATAGCGAGATAGTAGGAAAACAGAAGAGAAAAGGGAAATTAAAAAAATTGTTGAATTTTACTGTTCTTAATAATTCATGGTTGCTGCAGAGATACAAAAGACTCAGATGAACAGAAAAAGAGAAAATTACATGAGAAGAACAGAAAAAAAAGTGAAAATGCATGAAGAGTAATGGAAAAAAAGGAGTATATTCAGTTTTGTTTGACAACAATTTGTAACCACTCATCATTACGTTAAATAGAGAGAATAAAACATAATACGGAATAGTAGGAGTATAATCCTATTTTCTCAAATCACACAATTCTTTTGTATCTATCAAAGCCAATCTAATCAACATCGTTCATTAGTAATAAAATAATTTTATCAACTTAAATAGGATGACAAAATTGAACCTATCAGCTAGTAATTCAAAATTCATTGTGTTAACCTCATTAAACTTTTGTAGACAGAGCCATCACAACAAAACATTTATAGTATTAAAAGTCTTTTTATTTTGTAATTTGAACAATAAACAGAATATACAGTAATTACTGAATTCGTCTATTTTTAGGCGTGCTTGTATGAAAACTTGGTTAATCTTTTTAAAAGAACAACGTTTCGAGTATCGTTCCATCTAGGAAAAATGTACTTAATTAGAACGATTCAGTCAACATTCAAATGATTATCTCACAGTGTACATTTTTATAATAGCAGGCGGATATAAGAATTTTTTGCTCGTAAACCATCAAATTCATAAATTAATGCTACAATTGTTTACGAATTTGATAATTAAATTAAAAAAGTTTGAACTTTTCTCTTTGTATTTTATTATATTAATGAAGTAATACAATTAACTAAACGTTTCGATATGTTAACATATCATCCTCAGTAGTTAACAAACGAAATATTTTATAGATCCACAATCTAAAATTATAACAAATTTTCCAGATTTGAATTAAACCATCAAATGAAGTTGTAGGTGCATCTACAAATCAATTAATTTTAGATCAAATTAAAATAAATGTTCACTCATCGATGCACAACACTTCTTTTTATCCAGTTATATGGAGCCCTGTCAGTGCTCGAAAATGTGAAACTCATGAGAGATTCTAAGAGATTATAGGGTTTCATCTGTTTATAAACTTCAACTTCTCTATTTTTTCTGATTGATAGGTTAGAAGTTTCACAAAATTTGATATTTCATCGAAAAACCATTGTACAGTAATTGATCAAAATTAACACTCCATTCTTTCATGGAATCAGCTACTATTATTTCTGTAAGATCCATAAAATAAAGACAAAAAAAAGATTACATGACTATAAAAAAACCCATAATACACCGGTATTTAATCTGACTGTACATCAANAAACTTCAACTTCTCTATTTTTTCTGATTGATAGGTTAGAAGTTTCACAAAATTTGATATTTCATCGAAAAACCATTGTACAGTAATTGATCAAAATTAACACTCCATTCTTTCATGGAATCAGCTACTATTATTTCTGTAAGATCCATAAAATAAAGACAAAAAAAAGATTACATGACTATAAAAAAACCCATAATACACCGGTATTTAATCTGACTGTACATCAAATAAAACATACGTTTATTGACGATGGGACAGATGCCGTCAGTTTCTTGTTAACATAAGTAATGTGTAGAAGTAGTGACTGAGTAGAGCGAAGAGAAAATGGAAGGAAAATGATGATGTTATAAATGAACTCGTAATGTTACATAGATGAAAAATGAGATTTATTTATTTTTGTAAAAGAGAAAAACGATGAACAAGAGAAAAAAAAATGACTAGACTAATTGGAAGAACATCATTTCAGATTATTGGCATTATTTTTGTAAGTTTGCATCTACCAGAAAAATAAATTTCCTCAGTGAAAACCGTAACACCTATATTTTTCAAAAACTGCTCAACAGTTGAATACACAAAGCAAACAAAAATCTGTTTAAAAAACATCGACAAGTGTTTTCTTGTCACATAATCCCACTAGGGTTTTCTTAATAAAAATTTAGCATATCGAGAAGCTTAGAAAGTAACTGACATAATAAAATGTCCTACTATCTCTACACGTTACAACATCTTAGCATCCTAAACTATTGTTAAAAAGAATAAAAAAAATATGGGCAGAAATATACATAGAATGGGAAGCTCGGCAAAAAATATCTGATTAAAAATATTCGTTTTTGTTTACAATAAAAGTAGATTCGTTTCGTTGTCATCTTGCATACTTTTTTGGTCATTTCTACTTTTTACTCGACAGTTTGTTCCTCTTACAACAGACATAATTTAGTACACCCTTCACTAAAAAAAGTATTTGCTTTTATGGTAGTATATTAAAAGACGAATAGTCAGAACTAAATTTAAGAGGAGGGTGTGCTAAATTAAGGCTACGTTTCTGAGGAGCAAGCTGCGGACGTTAACTACCGCCTTAATGTCGATTTTCAGAGGGAGATATGGGTAGGCCAATTCTTCAACAACAAACCAGTACTCCCTTCCTCCATCTCTTTCTTCAAAATAGTGGAAGGCTTGTACGACACATTGAGATAGGCTACTTCTGATTCCTATTCACTCCCTCCTAGAGTACTATATATACGTGGTTACTAATTTGAGGCTAACGGAAGGTGGGGCACGATCGAGTGTGATCTTAGGGGCATTTTCGACAGTCAATCTTTGTTTGTAGAATAATGAGATAGTATTGATCTGAAGATCACTCAAACAATACTAATCTCAAGGGATATGGTGCTTGAGACTCTCCGTTGACTATGGAAGGCCTCTCAGAGACGATCAGATTTTCATCCTTAACCCCTTTTACGCGGACTCCTGCAGCTAAAGGAAGAATCTTAAGAAGGAAAAGAGAGCCACTAGGAAGGAGTAACTAAAAGCAAGTTAACCTCCTACGTATTGATTCCCACTCATTAATTTATTACGGACTATGGTTTGACATTTTGAGGATTCTATTGAGCTTGTACTTTTATTATCTAAGACCTTATTAATTTATTTACATTATTTGTTTTTGAATTGTTGCTGTGATATTCTTTTTATCATCAATAATCGCTGGTAACGAAATAAATGCGTCGATAATCTCATTTCCATCCATATCGTAATCCATCGGTGTAGCTTGTTCATTTAATAAATCACCATCAAATTCAAATCTAATTTTTTGACGATCAATTTTTAAATCTTGAGAATATTTTTGAAACAGTAATGAGAATGGCTCTTTTTCACGTAAAAAATATTCACGTTTTGATGTTGATCGATGACTAACACCAGCTGATGATGAATTATTTTGAATAATAAATTTCAATTGTTTGTTGCCTTGATGTTTTGGATAACATTCTAAGTACAAAATAGTGAGAGAACATGAAAATTTGAATAGATAATCAAAACAATTTCGCACTAACAGATTAAAGTTTTAGTACTAACTACATTCATTTATTCTGTGATTCTAAGCGAAGGTAGTTTTCACTAATTTCAGCAAGCAGCATCTTTAGTGGCAATACAATATAACGTTAGAAACTTGCCAGATACACAACACAACACATTGGATAAACTAACACATCAGGCGATTTTTTCCCTTTTTAAAAATTACTGAGAAATAATCTAGATTACGCTGTGATACATATTAAATTTTTTCAATTGTATGACTGTGATGGCCCCACAGAGTAAGTTAGTTTTTTGAGCTCTGATAAGTAGTAAGTGTCTGGTGTTTTGATACTTGTGTCCACCTATTAAAGTTAACGATTGAATAGGTAAAAAGTAGTTACTCACTAGAATCTTTTTTTCCTCTTCGTCAGACTTATATCGAAAACGATAGTAACTTTCGAGTACATAAACCAAAAATCGGTACACTTACCTATTGTTTCTCCATTTAAGGATGAAAAATTTAATTGTTCAGGAGTGTCATCAGGTTTAAGTGTTTTATTTTTATGTACAAGGAGAATATGTGAAGCTAATGGATAATTGAAACCATGAGCAATTTGATCATAAATGTTCGACATTAACTCGTTATGTGAAACTGATAATGTTAATTTGCGCCCATCTGTATGTTCGACTTTTAGTGGAATCTGATCAGTGAAAGACATAGGTGATAAGCGTGAGGTAATTGGCGATGATTCAACGGCAATACGACAAGTTTTCGATGTTGAAGATTTGATGATTTTAACTAGGATAAACAAAACAAGTATAAGGTTACACATAGAAAAATTGCTGATCTATCAATTCGTTTAAATTTACCAATAACTTTCTCATCATTGCTGCAAAAAGCTTAAAGAGCTGAAGTGATGATCATTCATTATGAAAAAGTAGAAAAAAACCGCGACGTGATGTGTTAGAAGAAAAACATCCGTCGAAGTCGAGGACAACGGACGAGCATTGTAAGGGATTTGAACAGAGTTCAGCTTCAATACAACAAATTATGTTTAGCATTCTCTACTTAGAACGTATTTGTCTAGTAATGACAGTTCTAGTATGTTTCGGCACTGTACACACGTCTTATAGCCGTTTACTGATATAGAGTTGCATTTTGTTTGTTTTCTCAGGTACATAAAATCATTTGATCTTTTCGCGTGTGTCTGAGATTATCTAACTGTCATAAAATGCAAACTTATGTTTACTATATGAAAGATTGTTCTTCAGGGGTTATATCACGAAAAAACTTAAATCTCTACTTAAGTGTATAAAATTAGCACATAAGTGCACATAACGAAGACTTGAGTCCAAATTTAGACTTAAGTCAGGCTTAAGTTTTTTTATGATATGGTCCCCAGTGCTTGGCACACTAACTTTATTGATGTCATCGGCTCACTCTTCTTCTACTCATGTAACTCAATCAAATAAAATAATATTATTTCTCAACACATATTTGTAAAAATAAAACTGAATACAAATCGATTATTTCCTTTTGGTTTTCTGTACAAATTCTATACTGTTTTTAATCAAATGTGATAGAAATAAATATCCACTAGAAAACTAAGCAATTGATTTAACTGGATGAATATTATAACTGAATGCAAGCATTAATAACATACAAATAAAAAATAAATAAAGTTGATCAAACTTCCAACTATTATTAGATAAAGAATACAATGCACTTGAAATGAGTAAAACGTTCTAACTGATTTAACTGTAACTTAATATTTGCAAGCTCAGAAAAATATTATAATACTCAGCACATATTGTACTAAGAGAGGGCAAGTAGGTTCATCAAAGCTTGCTAAATAGTTTTGTTATAGAAAAATATTAAATTCTTCGTCAAAAATGTCTGTTTTCGTGGCTTTTTCGTTAAATTCAGACAAAGCAGGTGTTTACTTCCACTGACACTCATACCGCCCGTTCGAAATATAATCTCATATTTCTTTAGAGAAATCATAATGAACATTAATCATAGTGACGTAAGTGGAAGAAAACAAGCAGCTTCGAACCGGATGCCTACAGTTTGCAAAGCAACTACCTTACCATGTCTGCCAAAATATCCACTAGAAAACTAAGCAATTGATTTAACTGGATGAATATTATAACTGAATCCAAAGCATTAACAGTCAGAGCGCCAAGCCTAAAATGCATAATAGAATAACGTTGTCCTCAATTCAAAATCTTAAATTTTGCCCACATTATGTCTGAAAGAATGTATCTCAATCAGAGAACTTATCCCTAAAATATTTT